TAAAAGCCTCAAATGAAAGCAATCATTCATACTATAAATTATGACACACAAAAATAACATACCATGTGGCCATTAAAAAAGAGACTTAGGAAAATTACAAAATATTTATGATATATAGGTTGAAAAACACAAAAAGGAAAGATTCCATATTACAACTATATAAAATTATGCATGCATGTAGACTAATACACAACAATGAAAATGGTGGGTTACAGTGAGCTACAATAGTGCCACTATACTCCAGTTTACTCTGGGCAACAGAACAAGACCCTGTCTCAAAAAAATCCAGGATCCGCTCCATAAAATTCACAATGATGATGCCTATAATCTCAGCACTTTGGGAATCTGAGATGGGAGGACTGCTTGAGTCCATAAGTAAGATTGCTTGGGGAACACAGCAGTTTCTCTACAAGAAATTTAAAAATTAGCCAAGCTGTGGCCAGGTGTAAAAGGTAATCCCAACAATCTAGGAGGCAAAGGTAGGTAGATTGCTTGAGCTTAGGACTTTGAAACCAGCCTGAGCAAAAGACCCCATCTCTAAAATATAGCTAGGCATTGTGGCAGGCACCTGTAGACTCAGCTTCTTGGGAGTCTGAGGCAAGAGAATCACTTAAGCCCAACAGTTAGAGGTTGCTGTGAGCTATGATGCCATGGCAATCGACCCCAGGGAAACTGAGTGAGATGCTGTCTCAAAAAAAAAAAAAAAAAATTAGCCAAGTCTGATTATGCACACGGATAGCCCCAGCTACTCAGGAGGCTGAGGCAGGAGAATCACGTGAGCTCAGGAGTCTGAGGCTGTAATGGGCTATGATTGTGCTGCTACACTCCAGCCTAAGTGAGAAAGCAAAACATTATCTTTTTAATTTTTTTTTAAGATTAATATGAGGATACAGATGATTAGGTTTCATTGTTTGCATTTGTTAGGTAAAGCTCAAGTTGTAGTTTTACTCCTCCCCCAGGAGATGTGCCATATACCCTTATATTCTGCCTGTTAGGGTAGAGCACACCAATCCCCCTCCTTAGTTCTTTCCCTGTCCTTGAGTTTAAATGTGTTCTTCCCTTGTATGGGCATATATTTGTTTGCCTACTGGTTTTATATTAGTATTGAGTACATTGGATACTTGCTTTTCCATTCTTGTGATACTTTACTAAGGAGAACATTCTCTAACTCCATCTGGGTTAAAGCAAAAGATATAGGCTCGGCGCCTATAGCTCAACCGGCTAAGGTGCCAGCCACGTACACCTAAGGTGGCGGG